CTCTCTTGTGGCTCTAACATACTGCGAACTTGAATGTTCCCCCCAGCCAACTAGTCCATGCCAGGATATTTGAGGGAGTGTAACATTATTTAAGGGTCAGTTTCTCTTACACCAATTTCCTTGATGCCCTCACATGTGTTGTAGATTCTAGCAGCATAATTACCCTTCTGCAAGGAAGTCACCCTGATCCAGGGAACACCTCAACACCTCTCTTTTCTTTGATACCAAACATGAAGAATCTCTTTATTGAAAGGGAAAAAAAAAAAAAGTGTATTTATGGACAAGAAAAAGACAATGCTGAAGTGTCATCTTGTCATTTAATAGGAAAGCAAAATGAAAACATGGTCTGAGACAAGAAGGAAGGCAGTAGCCAAGCTGAAATGGTTACAGGGAAGAAAACCTGGAACACTGTAGACTGAGCAGAAAAAATGCTACAAAAATAGACAGAAAAAAGCAGGCTGGAGAGGAAAGGAACATATGTCCCAGTTTTCCATTCAAGTTTGCTTCCTCAGCTTTTAATTACTACCTTTCATATTCTCCAACACTAATTCATTGCATGTCCCATCAAAATTACGAACTCTTGCTATGTACTGATTGTGTTATAGATAACACACATCTAGATACAAACTATACTGTGAGAGAAAAAAAAAATAATCCAAAAAGTTGTATAAGAGCCATTATTTGCATCTTTAAAAGATTTCTGTGAACACAGAATATGTGCCTGCTGGTGTGGAGTTAACCTCTAGCAAAAGCATGAAAAAATATGAATTTGGTGATCTTTTTGGTCTCTCTGCCATGATCTCAGATACTTGGATTTCAGTTCTCTCTTTTTAAAAAAAAAAAAAAGTTGTTGTTAATGATCAGCTAGGAAATTAGGAATGCAAGGTAAACGTGTCTGTTTTCTTGCTTGAAATATATAATTGCACGTGAATAGAAGGCTGTATTTGTGTCTGGGTGTAGGGAACACTGCAACTTTTATGTAGCAATTGTGAGCATCCCTGTAAGGGGTGGGGGAGAATGTGTGGCATCCTGAGAGCAGTGCAGGCAGTACTGGGTGAGCGTGGAGGGGCAGATCAACAGAGGTGAAAAATGTGACGACGTGGTATGAAATGCAAGGTTATGGATTATGCCAATCCGAAACAGGCTGCTGTTTATTTTGTATTTAAACTGAAGTGACTGGGGTGTTCTTATGTAAGCAAAACACCATCTAGAATCTCTTCTCTGGATCAAGTTCCTTGTGGTTCCTGCTGTGGGGAGGGAGTTCGGAATCCTTTAGTGAAGCCCACGCATATTAAATTCGTTGATGTCATCGGTTCTGAGTTTGTGAATATGAGAGTAAGACTTTAATCCTCAGACTTTGCTCCTGAAAGGTTAAGGTGTCTAAATGTCTTCGCCAGTTATCGTCAACTGGTTAATCAGACAGCTGCCTTTGAATGCACGCCGATTGCTCATCTATTTGTGTGCCTTTTGTGCGATGGCTGAAGCTCTGCTTCCGCTCCTTTCTGAGCTAGCCCAAAGTGAAAGCTTTCCCTGGCTCGCTCATGAGTCACAGTATTTTGGTGAGATCAAAACTAGATCAACAGAAACACAGCATTATCGAGTGTACGTGTCATGTCAGGGGAACAGCTGAGAAATCATATTGAAAGTGTGATGCAGAAGGATATTCTCAGTTTGGGCTGGCTTGTTTATACAGGAAAACACAAAACTCTGTATTATCCACTCATCTGGTGATAAACAGAAGTTTAACAGGAGGGCCTTAGCAAGGACAAGGTGTTCGCTCTGCCTTTCCCTGCTGACTTCGTGCGTTGAGGAGAAGTTATTACTTTGGTCAGAGCTTATTCCCAGTACGGTGACTGGGGGGTTAGGACTCAGTGTGTCTGATATGGCAGCGCCCATACTTACTGTTCTCAAAATGGCCTGCATTCAGCTTTTAAGACAAATAAACCATCAGTCTGAGGTGCTGCATATTGTAACTTTCATATTTGGCGTATTTTTCTTCAGAGCCTATTGAAATAGGGAGCGTTGGCTTTGCCATTGGGGGTGCAGCTGATAACGTGACCAACTGCTCCCACGGCCGCCGAAGAGGAACACCGAAGCCTTGACATTTACAAGCTCAAAGTGATTTAAACTTTTAACAGAAGTTTTAGCAGTGTAAAAAGTGTTTGGCAACGGTATACAAGCTAACCTGTGCCCTTTAATGTTATTACCTTCCAGGAGCTGCCAGTCCTAAATGATTAAACGATAAATCATAACACACTGAGACAACGGTGATCATTGGAGCCATCCAAAAAGGACAGGCTCCTTGACTCTTCTTGTGTTTCCTGGAAATAGTTTGCTCATTGAGAATGGTTTACCATCAAGGGCAGTTGGATGAGAGGTTTTCTGCTCTTCCTAGTAAGATATTTCACCTTTTTTGTGGGAGGGATTTTTTTGCTTGTTTTAGGCTGTATTTTGGAAGTTCATGTTCCCACTTTACTAGAAGAGCTGTAACCCTGAATTACCTCATCTAAAGTAGATAACACAGTTGTGGACAGTTAGGATGTTAGGATGCTTGTTGGTTTTCATAGGAAGGTATTTATTTGTAGTAAGTGTAAAAATTGTAGTTAACCTTAGCTGGGTTTGTTGGAGAAAGTGTCCAGTATTTGACTTTGTTTCTCCACTTGTTTAATCCTGTGCATCCTTAAAGGAAGTGCCTGTTTGACAGCTTCTGTCTCTGAAAGTGTTATGCTGCAGTCTGTATGTTGTGATGTACTGTAATTAGAGGAGAAACACATGCATTTTATGCTTGCATGTACTCAGGCACATGCTAAAGTGCAATCAAATACCTTCAAAATTTTCCTGGTGTGTGCCTATGAGCCCCCAAAGTCGAATACTAGGGAGGTACACCTACAAACTAAAAATAATTATAAGGAACACAATACTAATGTCTTGTCAATGGAAAATGGCATGTATGGCTGGCAGGGGCTTGATATTTTTAATACAGCTGTAATTGTCTTCTGGGATTTGCTTTGGAATAACACGCCAGACTCTGGAGCATCGCATGCTCCTCAGCCACTGACATGCTGTGAACGCTGTCCCTCTCTGTGGCTCCCTCCCTGCTCTCAGAGCTGTGTGGCTCGTCTTGTTGATCCATTCCTGCAAGGACCGTGACATTCCCTCTTCCCAGGTTCCCCTTCCTGCCCTTCCATCCTCCTCCTTCGCTCCTGCACAGGAGTGTCCTCTGCTACTTCATAGCCAGCCAGGGCTTCCCAGCTGACTTCTGCTGGAAATGCAAGTCGAAAGAAAAGCGGGGAAAAAAAGAAAAAGAAAAAAAAGTTAAAAAAAAAGGCACGCAGCTATCTCCACACCACCACCTCTGCGTGTTCCTGCTGTTTATAGCGAAGTATGTGGGTGGGTGGCAGGCAAAAGGGACGTGCGTTCAAATAAAGAAAAAAAAACACCTCCCTTTCTATGCCAGCATGGCTAGGTTCATGCGTTGAAGCAATCTTCATTGAAGCTCTGAGTGTTTAACATCACAAAAAAAGTACCCAAATTCCACCTGCGTGAGATGATGTAATCCCACCTGCCAAAATACATCTGTTCTTTATAATTTCTCAAAAGAGGGTTTTGACAGCCAAAAACCTGTTTGAACTAAGTTTTTTAACACTGATTTACATTATGCTAATATAAATCAGCTTTGTCTAATTCCATTGCTTGGGAAACAAATTGCAAACCTGACCTCAAATAAGCTAGTGTATATTTAGCAAATGTCCTTAAAAATCATGATTTTGTATCGGAAATGGCTTATTACTGATGCTGAAAAAGACTTTATCGAACTCTTTGTGTTTTATACCATATTACAATCAATATTTGTTTTTTCATAGTAATGGTACATTTGTATACTCCTGAAAAACTGCAATCATAAGCCCAATGCCAATAGTGCTCCCATTTCTTAGGCAAACTGAACACGTTTGCTTTAGGAGTGAAAAAGTATGAATACTTGATCTTAGTAAAGTGATACATGGAACTGATCAACATTTTTTCTTTTCCTCTAAAAATGTTTCATATAAAGGAACAGATTCTGTAAAACTAAAGGTATGGGGGAAATATGATTAATATAATATTCTGTAAATGCATTTCAAAAATTTATATAGTCCAAGCGTTTAAAGAGAAATAAAGGAAGTCTGTTTGTTTGTCCAGTGTCTGAACACTAATTTATTTATGTTTTGTCAGCTAATGCAGGTGGTAAGAGATCTTTCTTATAATGTGCAATAGTACAGGTTCAATTCCACAGGTTAGGCTGGGAGTCTGTATTTCCTTAGTAAAAAGGATTTTGTATCTGTGACAGACTGAGACAAGCTGTGGTGATGCTGATTCACAGTCTCTTGACCTGCAATAGCAGTGTTTTTTGGTTTTGTTTGTTGGTTTTTTTTCCTACTTTTAGTCTGCAGTGAGGTTTTTAAAACTAAAGAAAATCTTTACGTTAAAGGTGAGATTTTAATATCTATCACTATGGTGTATTCTTCTGAAGTGTAAAGTGAAATGCAACCCATTTGGTACTAATAGTATTTACTGCACTGGCTGTGCAATAACTGTGGCTCTGGGAGGTATCCTGCACTGCAGCCCTGGATGGCAGCTACAAAAGCAGTGCTGAGCTGCTCTGGGGAAAAATTCTCTCTGTTTTGCTCAAAAATGACTGCTCTGTGTACAGGAAAGCCGTGAAGAAGGTGGCAATGATAATGTTCAGACACTAGTGACAACTTACAAGATATTTGACGAACAGATAAATTTCAAAATATTATTTTAAGAGAAAAGTCAGCATTTTCATGCAGTCTAATTCTTTAGTAGGTAAAATCCTGATAACTGCATTTGTTGGTATGCCCACAAATCTGGCAAATTGCTTTGCATCTCCTACACAAGTGCAGTGGAAGAACCTGACCCCTTCAAAAAAAAAATTAAATAAAAAGCATCTAAACTTTTGTTAACCCAACTATTTGACTTTTTCTTTCTCTTTTGCACAGTAATGGAACTTCAGTAGACCTGCAGTGGCTGGCTGGTTTGACGACACTTACCCTGAAGTGGTACCATAAGGGGCACTCAGCTGAAAGCAGAGAGGTAATCAGAACATCCCTAGATGGAGAGGCTTCAGCTGCTTTATGCCATGGTGAGTGGTTAATTTCTACACTGTTGGGTAGTTTAACAAGAGTGGGACCAGTTATTGAAAACTGCCGTGGATTGTGCATCTTATTTTAGGCAGATTTCCTGCCTAAGAGTCTTGGTCCTCAGGATTTATCTGTATGAACACCTAGGCAAATGAATTTTGGTGAAAACTTTGCAACAACTGAACTGGGATTCTGGCAGCCCTGGGTATGAGCAACAGTTCTGTAAGTACGTAAGGAACTTTGCTGGCCAGAACATGTTATGTTAAGCAAGAATTTTACAAAATGAACTGACATGGTGCCCTTTCGTAGGTCTGGACAAAGCAAAATACAGACTTTTCTCTGCTGTTCTCCTTTTCTTTGGTGTTGTGATGAAATCAGTGCTTTAAAGCACGATTTGTTTTCCCATGTGCCCAATGGGCATGCTTTCTTGCTTATGTTTTTCTTCTATTTATGTGATCTTTGAATTAAACGAGCATATCGACGTTCACAGCTGTATGGCTGACCAGATCAAAAACTTGATAGGCCAGCTCTCTACCTGATGAAGATCGATCAGCTGGTTTTCTCTATCTTTTTTTCGCTTGACCAAAGTTAAAACCTAGTTGTATGTTTAAAAACATTCATTTTTTGTAGGCAGAGAATGTAACGTAGATGCAGATGTTTTACATACAGTGGATATGTGATAGACAATTTTCAGCATGTTACTTTCAATATACCCCTTTTCTGTTATAAACCACCTAGTACACATTTCAGTAAGATCACTATTGCACTAAGGAGAGCGAAGATCATTTTTCAGGCAAATACCAGTAAAATATCTAGCAAATAGCAGCAGAGTTTTCATTAGATTAATGCAATATTTGAATTTCATATGTTTTTTTTTTCACATTTGATATCAGATTGCAAAATAGGGTCTACATGTTAAAACGGTATCAGCTGCTTTGTATTAGCAAAACCCACTGGGGAAAAAATAATAACATTTAAAATTGTTCCTTTTAAATGCCTTGTTAAAATGAGTTTTCTAAAAAAAAAAAAATACCTCTGGGAGAGGGAAAAAATACGTAAAGTTCTACATAAAATTTTATACGTTTTAAAACTGCACTCAAAATAAAGCTTTCTGGAAAACTGTGCTTATGGAAGAAACACAAATCGTGCTTAGTTGAAGAAAAATAATATTTCAGTAAGACTGGGGAAAAAAAAAAAAAAAAACACTAAAATACTACTCTCTGCAAAAGTGAGGATCAAATAAAAGAACTGTAACGTCAATGGTATTTTTTCGTTCAGCCCCGCTCTTTCTGCTGCAATTGATTTGATTTGGGTACTTGGTACCCCGTTCTGCCATCCAGGTAGGTGAAATAGGGGATGTCGGGGTAGTATCCGGATATCCATCGGGCTTCACGTGATGGATGTTGCCAAGGAAACCGCTCCCTTGGCAGCCATGCAGCGAGCACGTCCGCCTCTTCAGCTCCCCAACACAGCCCTGCTAGTCTATCAGCTGGAGGGAGGAAAGCAAACAGCTTCGGAGAGAGCAGGGAGGAGTAATTGAAGTGTTTAAATCCTTTGCATTTAAAAGTTGAGATGGTCTTCAGGGTCCCCATCAAGGGATGGCAGGAGTGTGCTGGAATGGGGGCTGTCGGTAGCATGCCCCAGGCCTCGGATGGAGTTACACCATGTCCTCCTCTGCAGGCACGGATTTAAACTACATCTATGTGGTACAACCTCCAAGCGAGGTGCAAAGCACAAGGCTGAGTCAAGACCTTCTCTTTTGGAGGGCATTGACCCTCCACCAAACACAAGCAGAGTTCCAAGTCACGGGTGTTCCTAAAAATGTGTCATAGTGGGTGGCACAGCCTGCTTGTCCATAACATTTTGGGAAAGGAATGTTTTTCCTTCTCCTTCTGCAATTATAACCAATACCTTGCCAGGAATATGTTTGACAGCTCTCGGAAAGAATTGATCCCCGGGGCTGCCAGCCATACCTAGTGTTGGTTCTCATCTAGCATCTGTGCTGTTGAGGGACATCTTTTCCTCTGCTGGTTTCAAATGCCTATTGGGAGTCCCACACTTGTGGTAAAGTGTCACAAGGGATGTGAATTGGAAAGGAAGAGTCTCCTCGAAGCATCATATAAACCTGAGAGGATTTTAGAGCTGAGATCTGTTGCTTGGTTAAACACTGAAGTAAAAATGCCCGTTAAGACTATAAAGGAATTCCTCACTTGTGAGCATCTTTCTTCCTTTTCCTAACAGCTGATTCGAGGCCAAGGAGCAGGCAGTCTTAGTTCTCTAGCATCAAAGGAGCCATTAATATTTCATATTTTGTGGTGTTGGCTCAGATGATTCATATCTTAGCTTTTATATATATATATAGTATAGAACACTAAATGTCTGTTTATTGCAAATTTTCTAGAAAACTGGTCACAAATATTAAGAAAGCTCATGTGTCAGACCCAAAGCTTTATTTTTGACCTGATTATCTCACCAAACTCCTTCTGAGTGGTAGATTTCCTGTGGTCACCTACCAAGCCACTTTGTTCTAAAAATCTTCCCAAAGGGGGTAAAAGTGGAGCATTACAAGGATATTTGGGATAGCAATTTGGAGGCAAATATGGCCATTGCTTTCTGGTTTTCCATGGTCTGTTCCTCTGCTTCATGTACTCGCTCTTATTCACTTCCACATATTGCAAATAAAAGATGGGAAAAGGATATATGTCTCTGTGCTGTACTGGGGTCACCCAAGCTAAGAACTTGAAGAATATTAACTTCATTATTTTGGTCGATTTCTAGTTTTGGTAGTTATGCTGTACTCTTAAAACTCCCTTGGCAATTCCAAATGATTCATCTTTCTCTCACTTCTTAATAACTTCTGCATGCCATTGTTGTGTATAGTAAACTGTAGCTATCTTTCTCCCATGAGGGGCTGAGAATGATTCCTGTAAGCTGTGTACTTAGCAAATCCATTTGTAAAGTGCATTTGAAGAGCTTGTGAATGTATTGGGGGGTACCATATAAAGAGGAGATTATTCATTCAGGGAGAATTTACTTACACAGTTTCTATGCAGTATATGTTCCCTTGCTTGGAAATAACTCATGAAGCTTCCTGTCATAGGAAAAAAAGAAATTTGGTTTGGTGTCTGTTATTTTCATATATTCATAGAAAAATAAATAATTGAATGGATTATCATGATTTTCTCACAGCATATCCTTTCCTGAATGATGCACCTTCCTTGATGATTGATGTTCAATGTCTATGGGAGGGTATCAATAGAAAATACAATTGTTTTATTTTCCTGTATATACATAAATACTGTATGTTGCCAGAAATGCATTGTTTTAGCATTACTGTTTTTAAATACTTCGACACCATCGTATCTATCTTGAACCATTTTAAGAAAATAATTTGAGCTAAGTAATTTATAAATTAAAAAAAACAAAAACAAAAAGCACATACTTATAGCCTATTAAAGTTTGCTAGATTAGTTTCAGGTTTGAATACAAGATTTTCAGAATAATCAGATAGAAAGTGCATAAATTACACATAAATTTACTGAAATACCTGTTTATATGGACAAATGTTAAAATGTGCTGAGTAATTGTCTTCTAGAGCTTTAGTCTGTTTTTTTTTAAAAAAAAAAAATAGTCCAGTGTGAACAAAAGGTGGGTCTTCATATTTTTCATGTTCATAGGCTTAGTCTTTTTTTTTTTTTTTTCCTGTTTTCTCCCTCTCCCTGTTATGAACTCTACTTCTTGTTTCTATTTTATGTTGCACATGGGCCTTCCCTATGAATGTGAATGTTAAATAAACAATGGAATGCTTTTCACTTATGAATCACGTTGCCCCTTCAGCATACAACTGTTCATGAGGCAGCGTGCAATTAATCCTGCAGGAGCTGATCTAAACCTTGCTCACCTTGATGCTCAATTCATTTCATTCTCATCAATTAATGTGTTGGCAGAGAAACTTCTCCTGCAGGCCGCTGCTGACTTATAGCAATCCTCAATGTGAAGAACCCTGCTGGGCAGGTACCCAGGGAAAGGGACCCTGTGCCTTAAAGGACTGGCATTGCATCTCTTTCTTCATTTGATTAGAGACCTCTGTAGTAACTTTGTAGTAGTTCTGTACCTCTGTACTAACCATTGTAGAGCTCTAAATCCTTGGCGGCCTCATCAGCTCCAGGACTTACCTTGCTTTATACCTCCATGAGTCACTTTGTGGAACAAAAAAATGCTCAGCCCACCTGGTTGCTGCACTGCAAAGAGCTTCAGCTCACCTTGAGTTAGTCCTGCTGCAATCGGTTGTAAGGTTACTTGCCTAAACAAGGTGCAGAAATTAGCCTGAACTTTCAAGTAGGCATTTGTTAATTCAGTGCGGTATTAGTAACAGATGGAAATTACTCTTAAGGATTGGTGATGCTGCTTGTGTTATTTAAGAAAAAGAACTCTTTAATTGGCTGTAGTTGTCTCTATAGGTATCCAGCTGCAGAGCAGATGTGACCATACAGCTCAGTGTGTATCCCAGCTCTGTTCTAAATGAAAAGGAGGTGAGTTTAGTATTTTTAGGCTGTAGGATTTCCAACACTGCTTTTTAATACGTATGTGAGTATAGATGACAACCTGTCTGCATGTCTGAGACATGCTAGATTGCTCTTGAACATCGTTGCTTAATACTGGATTGATGATTGAACTGGCTAGTTTGAAATGACAGAGTTTATTCAGAACATGCTGTAGCTTCCTTTCCTTAGGGGAAACGGAATATTTTCCCTAATTTTCCCTTCAGTGAAGTTTCCACACAGAATGAGAACTACCCTTAATCTCCCTCCTGCCAAACACAAAAATCAGTGGAACAATTTGCATCCAGAAGCAAAAGGAGATCGCAGAATACCATTGAATTAATGAAAAGAGAAAGGCTACTGTAATCTCTGTAATAAGCCAGAGCACTGTAGGCTGAAGTAGGAGTCTTCTGTGCTGACATTTTAATGATGACAGCATTTTCCGAAATGGGGATATTTTA